TCAAAAGTGTTTGAATTGACACTCCGAGAGATCCCTAAAGTGTTTGTTTCGCTTTGGAGCGAGAACATAGAGCGAGCTCGATGTTCTCAGAGCAGAAAGATCGAGAAGAGGGAGAAATTTGTCTTTGTCTCTACCTATCTCTTCTTAATTAACTTACAAACAAATTTAAATCTCAAAATTAAAGACCAGACAAGAAGTCAACAAATTACTTAGCCGCTTTTGTCTTATAGCTAAAATTATTCATCATAAAAAAACACAAAATGTGTGTTTGGAAAATACATTTTTTCTGTCCAGATCTAATCACCAGTAATCACAGTCATGGAGTAGGAGAGCGAAGCTGGCATTTGTGGTAAATGCTGCATTTCAGGGCCATTACCCCTTATTATTAAAAGTTTTTCCATTTTCTTTACTTTTTGCTCACTATTTTAACATACAAACCAGAAACAAGAATCACAAAAAAGCGAGGTTATGTTTTTTAATCTGTTTTATTTGATTTGATTCAATGCTCTATTGTGACGTCATTACTTCTCGGTCTCCTCGACGCTCGCTCGATCGAGTTTCAAATCAAACGCCCCTAATATAGATCTCTTAATGTAAGAAATTCGTAACACGACGAGTTTAATAATACATATGTCTCGAATTAGCACAGTTGCGTTTTAGCTTTTAAATACTATAAAAAATGGTGGAAAGTCCATAACTTTTAAATATTTGTTAAATATCACTCATTAAAATATTATGCATTAAAAGTAAAACAAACTATATAGACTTTCCACTATTCTTTACCGTACTCTGAACCCATATTTAAAAACAATTTCTGAAAATATTATCGTTTGGGGCTGTATTTTTGTGAAAACAAAGTCGCCGTCACTTGTCATTGACAAACGTGTTGAACTTGGACTTATGAGTTTATTATTCTTGGTGTATAAAACCCTATGACGTCAAAAAAGAACCACTACAGCCTACAATTATCAAGACAAGAGCTCTGTACTTATGTACATATGCTATCGAGCAAATTATTGAGGGGAGGATGGATAAAATGTGGACGTTTCTCCAAATAATCAAGCACCGTTAAAAAAGAACTTCATTAAGAGTTAGAAACGGCTCTCTAGTAGTGCTCGCGAGTAACCCAAGTAATTTACTAAAAAACGGTCGGACCCGTCAATTTTTGATTTTAGGGGGAAACATTTTTTTAGGCAGTTTCGCCCCCTGAACTCAAACCCTCTAACGGGGGTGAGACTCACCCCTAAAATCGTATTTTTATCTAGATTATAACCCTCGAGTTTTGCATCGCTACAAAAGTACAAAACCGGTTTAACATAATTTTTAAATTGTTATTAAAAAGAAATTATTTGTAACAATTCTAGTTTGATTCCTGTGGCATTTAATTATTGTTATCAGATGACATTTTTTGGTCGCCGTAAAGTGGTAAGGTTCAATTTATGTCGTTAGAGAATCGGCATAAAAGTGGCATATCAGTGATAATGGTTTACTCAATTGCTAAGTGGATGCAAATAATTTAACTTTTTTGCGAACAATGAATGTACTAATGGAACTGCCCAACTGTTTAACAATCAACATCAAAATCGACAAGTCCATCGAAAGTATATTTTGGAGTTAGTTCAAAAATTTTGGGAAACGGGTTCAGTAGCTAACAAAAAACGTGAAATGGAAAATAAATGATCAGTAATTTCTTTTCAACGTGTGTTTTTCTGACGAATTAATTGTTTCCTAAATGGTACGGTAAATCGTCATAACTGTCGTTATTGGTCCAATTGAAATACCAGAATATTTCATGAAGTACATACGCAACATCCAGAAAAACTGAATGTTTGCGCTGAAATTTTTGGTAACCGTGTAACTGGCATCTTTTTTACTTGGAACTTTAACCGCAGAAATATATCTGGAATTATTAGAAAACGCCATTTATCCAGCATGACTAGAGTTGATTGAGAATGACGATCAGTACATAGCAAACAACTTAATATTCCAGCAAGACGGTGTGCCACCCCATTTTGCACTGACTGTTCGTCAAACTTTTCCAGGTCAATGGATCGGATGAAGAGGAAGTATTGAGTGGCCCCCACGGTCTCCGAATCTAACCCCATTAGATTTTTTTATGGGGCCACCTAAAAACTAAAATTTATGCCACCCAGCCAACATTACTGGAAAATCTGCGACAACGAATAATTGATGAATATCATCAAATCATGGCTAGGAAGACATTTAAAACTCGGGTGTTATAATCTATGTAAAAATACCTTTAAAATAAGATATCATTCGATCCCTCTTTTCATTTAACATTTTAGGGGTAAGTTTCACCCCCTCTAGAGGGTTTCCGTTTAGGGGGTGAAACTGGCAAAAAACTATTTTTTCGTAAATGACATGAGGTGCCAAAAATTGGTTCTGTTTCGTTTTCAAATGTCCACCATGTATACATACAGTACTCCATTATATGTGTATTAATAAATCATTAAAAATCTCCTTCTAAATTCATGATAGTTAATAAATGTTTTATATTGCGTTTCTATTTATTTCATTGGAACTCCCGTCTGTCGCTTCAATCCTCAATCCTTAATCCTCAAAACTCCAGCAATTCGACATTTAACAATACTTTTTTTTTTCAAGAACATTTTCATAAAATCAACGCTTTAAAATGGCTTTTAAAAAACCGGTGGTGACCCTAAGTGGGTTGTGGAGGAGAGGGGGGACCCCCATTTCTCGCATAGAGAAATGCGTACGCGGGTGGAAAGTAAATTCTTATTCATACGCGTGCGATATAGGGCACTTTCCATAGGACTATATAGTGTGATATGTGTCACTTTCCTAAGTGGTCGTAGGAAAAAATTATTAATCCAACCTGACATTTTAAATTTATTTCACTGCTTGTCAAGATGGCCAATGTATTGTTGTTTTTGAGATATGTTGATTTGTTATTTTTGTTTAACCGGTTCTGTCACAAAGCTTAATAATTACTAGTCTAAAACGTATGTACGTTGAGTTTAATAAGTGTATAGCGAAATGTCGCGATTTGGTAAATAAAGTCTACAAGAAATTCAAAATATAACACCAGATAACACCCGAAAATCAAGTGTATGGAAACAGTTTGTTGAATTTTGAGACGAAAAGTTGTATAATATTCATAATTGTATGAGTGTAGTACTATAGTAGTACTATACTGGAGGACTACGCATTTAATATAAAAAAGAAAAATTTTGAAGATTATAAGGAAAGTGTGTTCAAAGTGATGTGGAACTGTACTGCTAAGCAGATACAAGAAATTTATTACGAAAAATATAAAATAAAATTTAATCCGTTTTCTGGAATTTGCGACCGCTAGAGATGCACGCGATGCTAAGCGCAAAACATTACAGAGATATCCTTAACCAGTGATGAATACAAAAAAATTATTGAAATGTGGGATGAAAATACTCCAGATGGATTGCAGCGTAAATTTTTTCACATAGTTTCACATGAGTGGGCATGGAGAGGAGGGGAAGGATATTTTGCGTGTATCCAATACTTCAAAGAAGAGACTGATAATCTCGGAAACCCAAAAGGTCGGATAGAATATAATATAATCCAATATTCTCTAAAACCACACAGATTATTTTTAACACCAAACCCATACTGGAGTCAACCTAATTCCAAAGGATGGTACAAGAATAGCCCAGTTGGTAAGAATATTATATCTTCATGGTTTAAATCAGCAGCCTCTGATATAGGATATGACACTAAAAAAGTTAAAATAACCAATCATTCTGCAAGAGCAACAGCTGTTTCGAATTTGGCCAAAGAAGGAGTTGGTGAACAGCAGCTCATTAAAATACTGGACACAGTAATAGTCAGTCAATCAAACTTTACTTACAATTGAACGTTGAACATCATCATCAGATGATTGAATCCATGAGGACAATTTCATCAAGTACTAGCAAGTTTAATCATGATCAGAGCACAATGCAAAATAAAACAGATTCAAACCACCAATTCAAGCCAGCCCACAAACATTTATAATAATTGTGTTTTTAATATTAAATCTAAAGCCGTTTTCGGATTAACTGTTCAAGTAAAATCCAATAAATAGGATATCATAAGAAAATAAATTGTTTGCCTTTTAAAATATTTAACTCTTCTCCCCACTTTCCCCACTTTAAAATTTTAAGGGTGTGATTGTCCCCACCAAGGGGTTAAAGATGCGGGTTAAAAAATATGCTTCAAATGTGTCCTTTTACAAACAAAAATCGACGTGTCCGAGCATTTGTGCATTAAATTTCAGGAAAACAGGAAAGGCTAGGTGCCTAATTTTCGCCCTCAAGAGGACCCTAAAATGGAAATTTGACACAAGAATATTGGTATTACTGAATTTCTTATAAAATTACCTTTTCAAAAATGAGGAAAAATGTGTCCCCCTTCAAACAAAAATCAACGTGTCCGAGCATTTCTTCTTTAAAACTGAGGGAACCAAGAAAAGGGGGGTGGACACTTTTCATTGGACCACACTGTACAAGTGATTAAATTACAGTTAATAATTATTAATCGTCAGTGAGTTTCATTAAGTGAAAAAATGTATGTTATTATATTCTACCAGAACTTAAAGAAACAAAAATGCATTACATGTGTACAGTTAGGTATTCTTAGAAAAGTCGAAGGAGAATAATAATTCAATCAGTAGAGTAGGTACTATTAAGTTTCTTCTTTACCGATATTTTGCAGGTTTACTTTTAAAATTATGAATAGCTAAAGTACAGTATGACAAGATTGAGATGGCAAGTCCGAATTAGATGGATGCCCTCTGGCAAATCTAAAAATGGGAGGATTTATCGCAGTTAATAGATGAGCTTTGATGCTATTGTTTCAGTGATCTATTTGTGTTCACTTATGCAATGTTGCCAAGTGTATCTAAGTATTTTGATTTTTTGCCAGTGCGCCTCTAATTCTGACTTGCCATCTCAATCTTGTCGTATTGTACCATTGTAAATTATTGATAACTGATAACTACTAACCTGCTGATCCGAATTGGGAAAAATACAACAACTCATATAACTGGTGTGTGTACCAACAGTTTTCTTTCGCAAAGTAACATCCTCTTCTAGACTTAGAGGATAAACAGTAACTTTATTGTCTAATCCCCTGTAAAATAAATAATAAAATAAAAAAAATGTATATATATTTAAGAGAAATTTGAAAACAATCTTTTTCACTTATTATCTACAGAAATCAAACATCAAGGCATAAAACAAAACATAAAATTCAGTTCATTTTCATTTCAGGAATATTCGTATATTTATTATAGTAATAGTAATTTATTCAGATAAAACAATAAATACATATATAAAACGTGATACAAAATTAAATATTATGTGAATAAAGGAAAATAAGATTTGGTCAATATAAATAAAATCTATATAGTCCAGGAGATATATGTGAAAAATTGAAATGGTTAATAAGTGTGCAACCTGTAATGATTTATTAGGCGAAAGACAATTTCTTGTGATAGTTGTCATGTTACAATGCATCCTAATGAAGAGTTATCCAAAAAATAACTATGGTTTATTTTTGTTCTGATTGCCGTTTGACGTTTAAGAGTGTATCTATGCTCGTTAGACAATTAGAAAATCTTAAGTCAAAAGTTAAAACATTAAAAGCAGAAGTTAAAAGATGAAAAGAGCAACGTCACTGTTTGCTGTTATCACTGAAGACATCATTAGCCAATTGCATGAACGTGAGAAAAGGGCTAATAATCTTTTAATATTTAATTTAAACAAGCTGTAGGAGAACCAGTTTACATAGAAGTTGTAAAAATCTTTCGATTTGGTAAGAATAAAAATGGAAACTGTCCTATTAAGGTTATTTTATCAAGCACTGACAATGTTCACAAAACATATTAAAAAAGCGTAATCTTGCTGACAAAAAAAAAATTTATTCAGTTGGACTAAACTCCTAAACAATCGGATGTTTTAGAAAATATAAGAAGTGAACTTTCCAGGCGTCTAAACAATGATGAACAGAATCTCGCAATAACATATTTTAACAATGTTTCTAAAATCGTACAAAAAAATAATAAAGCTCATTGACTCGGGCAAGCTCTCTCTGTAGGTACTATCAGAATGTCAGAGGATTGCACATCAAATTATCTAAAATTTGCCTTTCGCCCGTATGCACCGTACAGTTTAATCCAGATCAAAGATTTAATCGCGTTTAGTACTATAGCTAAAAATGGTACAAAACGCGATTAAACTCTTGATCTGGATTAATCGTGTACGGTGCATACGGGCGTTAATATCTCAAATTGTTCCTATGATATAATTATTTTCACTGAAACTTGGTAATTTGCTGATATTGCTACAATATCTACAGACAAGATTGCACAGCTGAGTCGAGTACTTCGAGTAGAGGAGGAGGTGTCTTGCTTGCAGTAAAAAAATGTTTTCTAACTGCCTTATTCCATCTAACTCACCATTGGAAACAATAAATTTATTTTGGGTACAATGTATTTACCACCTCTCATTCCAATTCATATCATATGCACTATGTTAAAGTTGAAACATTAAAAGATCACCATCCAGACTCTAACATTTTTCTTTTTGGAGATTACACTCTTCCTACTGCTGTATGAAATATTGAGGAATTTTGTTCCACAGCTTATTCATCTCATTTCTCATCATAAGCAGATACTGAGGTTATAGAAACTATTTCAAACCTTTGTGCTTCTCAAAACCTCTTCCAATCAAACAAAATTGTTAACGACAGGGAAGTTATTCTTGCTCTTGTTCTTTCCCAAATTGAACTTAGTGTTTGCAAGGCTATCGATGTTTTGATCCCACCTACCACCCGCCGCTTGAAACCACTCTTCAATATAATACAAATATCGACATTGCTCATGAAGAAGAATATTACTAAGACTTTCGTAATACCAATTTTACTGCCATACGCCAGTATTGGGACACGCTCCTTCGTAATAAAGAAGTTTTTGATACGGTAAATACTTTCTATGATTCACTGTATTCAGCAATGGAATTATTTGTTTCACTTAAGAATTTATCAATAAAAAAATTTCCAAGCTGGTATCTGCCGCATCTTAGAAAGTTGATTTACAATAAGAAAATTGCTCGTAATATTTTTAAAAGTACGAAATCTCTTGAAAGTTATGCCTTATTTAGTAGTCTAAGAGCTCGCTGTAAACTCTTGTCCAGAGAGTGTTATTTAAATTAAGTAAACTCTATTCAAACCTCTGTTAAAAGTAAAAAAAGGCATTCTGGAATTTCGTTAACAGCAAAAAAGAGAATATTGTTATTCCATATATAATGAATTCTGATGGATTTGAAACTTCCTTGGGCTCGGAAATAGCTAATTTATTTGCTAACTATTTTTCTTCAGTCTACACCAATTAGAATATTGATCTACAAATGTAACATTGAATCGAAAGTTCATGACTGCTCATATCATATTACAATTTCAACTATTTATGAGAAGTTAGCTATACTTGATACAAGAAAGGGACCAGGTCCTGATGCGATTCCCCTCACTCCTGAAAAACTGCAGCTTCATATTGTCTCATCTCGTACTTTTTTTTATTTTTAATAAATGATTGGATACAGGAGATTTTCCGGATCACTGGAAACTCTCATATGTCACACCAATATACGAGTCTGGTAAAAAATGTGACATTAAAAACTACCATCCTATATATAAACTTAGCATAATCCCAAAGCTCTTTGAAAGCATCATAACAGACTACTTAACTTATGTTTGCACAACAATTTGGCTTTCGCACATGCAAGTCAACAGAACTGAGCTTGTCTGTCTATGTTAACTTTATTTCGGAAGCCCTGGAGATGGGGTATCAGGTAGATGCCGTATATACAGACTTTTCTAAGGCTTTCAATATAGTCAATCATGAATTGTTAATTCATAAACTAAGTAAATTTGGTTTAGGTGGCATATTGTTGAAATTGATTAAAAGTTATCTTCTTAATATAACTCAAATAGTAAAAGTAACACGTTACTATTCTCATTATTACTGTTACTTCTGGAGTTTCCTAAGGATCCCATCTGGGACCAATTGTTTTTAACTTGTTTTCGGCACAGTAATTTCTTACTTTTTGCAGATGACCTAAAATTTTTCAAATAGTCAACAACTTTAGAAATGCTATCGATTTACAGTCTGATATTAATCATTTATTTGATTGGTGCAAATACAATGGCATGGATTTAAATGTGGAAAACTGTCACATTATTAGGTTCCATCGTTCTCAACAGCCCACTATATTTAACCACACAATAAATGGTCAACTTTTAGATAGTCAAGTGTTAAAAAAATTAAAGGTATTCGGAGTTATTTTCGACTCAACCCTTAACTTTAACCTCCACATCTCTTCATTTATAAGTAAATCTATAAAAATGTTAGGATTTATTAAAAGGATGACCAGCGATTTCACTGATATAACTGCTATTAAAACTCTTTACTGTACTTTAGTAACGTATAAAAAATCAATCGTGTTCATAACAATTTCCTTAGATACATAGCCTTTAAATTATAAACGTTTTATTATACTACAATGGAGCAGTTTTTAAAAATACCCTCTCTGGAAACCAGAAGAAAAAATAGAGACCTGATTTTACTTTTTAATATTGATAATGAAATGATTGTTCCAAAATTCTATCAAAAATTAATCTTTTTGTTCCTAGTCGTAAACCAGGCAATTACAATTAATTTATATTCCATTTTATAGACTTGATAGTACGTTTAACAGTTGTATTCCGGATACTTAGACTGGCAAATTCTTTGAATAATATTATAAAATTTGATTCTTCTGTAAATAGATTTAAGCAAAAAATACACCAATGTAATTTTAAACAATTTATTGTAACTTAAATGGCCCGTAAATAAATAAACTTAATTAGGCTTGTCCGTAAATAAATAAAACTTAATAGGATAAGTGTCCTAGAAGTAAATAGTTTATCAGACCTATAGACAGTTGCAAGTTTTGTTAATACTTTCAACAGCTAACTAATGGTCATATGAGTTTGAAGTTACCTATCATTCAGACAGATCACATTCTCAAGTTCTGTCAAAATTTATCAATTATCATTTCAATGAACGTTGTGGATGTTATTACTGAGGCCCTTCCTATGGGGCCTCAGTATTGCATTCGTGTAGACGAAAAAATTTTCTGACCCCCATTTTTTAAAACTTTTTTTCATGTTTCTGATCATTCTGAATCCGAAAATAAAAAAAAAAGTTTCGTCTGGTCGTCTGTATGTATGCCGGCACGATAACTCTAGAACGAAAGTTCTGATTGACTTGCGGTTTTGATTTTCTTGAATAATTACTTCTAACTTAGAACCCTATTGATTTTGAGAAATTTCGGTTCATCCTAACTACTTTAATAACAATTTTCTTAAAATCCGCCTATGCATTCCTTGTGTGAACAATTTTAGGAATTTCAATTATTTCTGACGTCAAAATTCCTAACATTCTTCACATTCCATAAATTGCAAACATTCTCTAACGACCTGTCAAACAACAGCTGTTGATAGTAAAGGTGAAATTTCTAAGGCGGGTTGCGACCTTCATACTTGCAACCATATAGCCATTTTGGAGGCTATTTTCATTCGAAATTAGTCGCCAAGCCTGCCAATATATAAAAAATATATAAGCAGTTTCTTAAAAATTACTTTTTATGGTGGTGCTATTAAGCGTACTACTATTTCGCCCCTAGCCACAAAACACCATCAAATTTCTCTGTCGCAACCCCATAGAATAATTAACCGGCTATTTTATTTGGCAAAAATCAAAATAATAGTCGTTTTCTTTTTACAACTAATCTGAGCTAACTTACATCGACTAAGCTGAGATGTTTTATGATTGTAAGTCAGAATCTTTCTTCCCCCCTTACCGATGCTAAGGTGCACGGTACTTGACGTCAACCATAAACCATCACAGAAAGTGAGTGTTCTGTGCATCATATGAACAAACATATCCCATGAATTCATTATTTTAGAGAGAATAAAAGACTATGATAACAGGGGGTGAGATTTGTAGTGTTGAATGTTGAAAAAATTATAAAAATTGATTAAAATATGGATTGTTTTAAAACGGATGGCATGGGGCACGTCACCTGTCAACC